GAGAAGAAACAATCAAATCCAAATCACCTGAGCCCGCCAAAATTAGTTCGCTAAACTCAACGCATGGACACCTACGGAGAAAACACGACTAATTCAACTAGTCTTCTCATTAATAATGTTGGGTGCCACAGCTGAGACTGTAACAGTTCAGTTAACCCTATCTGATCATGCACTGAAGTGGTGGAATTCAAGAGCCTACCGCATGAGGAAAATCGTGTCGAGGACGTGGTCGCAGCAGTACGACCCCCTTCTTTCTAAAATGGGGTCTGATAACAAACCCTCCTCTAAAATTTTGATTTGATGTGAGTAAACGACTTACAGTATATGTACTTCAAAGTATGCAGTTGCAGTGCGGATTATACCTGGGTCAGATTTGCTAAAACCACGCTAGAAACCCATCGAAATCTACACCCTCGTTGAAAAGGTACCATTCCTCCATTCATAAATTTTTGAAAATTATGTGGTAGGTTGTTTTTCGATAGAGCTATATTTGTTGTTACCAACCAGTGTTGAAAGTGCGCTCTAAGAGAGTTCCACTCGGAAAGATAGGGTCTCTCAAACTGCGTCGAGGAATTTTCATGCGAATCTTTCGCCATTTAAAAAGCAATATCCTTCTAATCGTAAGAATCCGAAAAAAAGGAAGACAGTTTTGAGAAGCGGAAGGTTTCCACTTTCCAATAGTCCAATTAGCTTTTTTCCAGATCCCGTAGTTAAGGAGTATTTGCATCGAGGATCTATCGAGGACAATTTCTGACAACTCAGGAAGTCGCTTCCGCTTCTTCCACTCATTCCAAGATAATTCGTTGGAAATTCTCGAAATGTGTCTAGAATACATTTTTCCAACGTAAGCGATAAGAAAAGGTGCAGTCGTCATGGTCCGATTTCCTCCGATATAGGATGTTTTTCCTCTCGATATAGGATGAAGGACAGCCATGCGAGCAAGCAGGTTTCGAAGAGGGTTCAGCACGATCGACCATATCCACACGGTTACAAGACTCATTGAAGTTTCACGAGAGTACAAGATGCCGCTTTGTCTCACGTTCATCGACTTGAAGAAGGCCTTCGACTCTGTGGAGACAGAAGCGGTCATCGAAGCCTTGGGCAACCAGGGCGTCCCTACTCAGTACATCAAGATTCTTCGTGAGCTCTACAGCAACTTTACGACCAGAATCTCACCATTCTACAAGGAGGTCATCATCGACGTCAAGAGAGGGGTCCGACAGGGCGACACCATCTCGCCCAAACTCTTCAGCGCCGCTCTCGAGAACGTCATGCGTCAACTGGAATGGGAAGACATGGGAGTGAAGGTCGACGGCCGGCAACTACACCACCTTCGTTTTGCTGACGACATCGTTCTTATAACGCCGAACATCGAGCAAGCGGAGCGAATGCTGGCTGATTTCGACTGCGCCTGTGGTAAGGTTGGTCTACAGCTGAACCTAACGAAGACGATGTTTATGAGAAACGGATTGGTTCCTGATGCCCCATTCACGCTCAACGGAACGAACATCACCGAATGCTCCAGCTACGTGTACCTAGGTCGGGAAATCAATATGATGAACGATCTAGCTCCAGAGCTGAGCAGGAGGAAACGAGCGGCTTGGGGAGCGTACAAGAACATCGAGGGAGTAGTGAAGAAGACGAAGAACATCCGGCTCCGTGCCCACCTCTTCGATTCCGCTGTCCTTCCTGCCCTAACCTACGCCTCAGAGACTTGGACTCTGCGCAGGCAGGACGAGCATGCGGTCAGCGTTATCCAACGCGCTGTCGAGAGGACGATGCTAGGAGTATACACGCAAGTGCAGAGGGGAATCCGGAGTGCCGAACTACGCCAACGATCGAAGATCAGGGACGCTGCCGTTTTCGCCAAGGAATCGAAGATAAGGTGGGCCGGACACGTCATGCGATTTTGCGATGACCGTTGGACCAGAGCGGTTACCGACTGGATCCCTCGGGACGTCAAACGAACACCTGGACGACCGCCGGCCCGATGGTCAGACTTCTTCACGAAAGCTCTGAAACTTTCTTCTCCTCTCTTAGGCTGGTGTCAGAGTCCGCGATCCGTCGCAGGTTTCGCTGATTTTCGCGATTTGCGCGATTCACGCGCGATTTGCGCGAATTCTGCGACGGATCGCAAAAATTGCAAGTGTGAACATTTGAAACACTGAATATGAAACAAGTGGAATCATGAGCAGTCGTCATTCAGCCATCACTATCAAGCAGAAGTGGCGGCAGGATTGGAGAACACCTTGCAGTATTGATCGGGCACTTGTGATTTCCGTGACCCGTCGCGTGAATCGCGCAAATCGCGAAAATCGCGAAACCTGCGACGGATCGCGGACTCTGACACCAGCCTTACTGATGAACACAGGGAGAGGATATGCTCAAACGTTTGGCATCCGTTTAAGGGCCCGCGAAACGGAAGCCAGACTGACTCTTTATGACCCCCCTATTATTTCACATATTTTATAATTATAACAGTTTTACATTTCTTGGCTTGTGATACTATCACGATTCCATAGATTTCTTCAGGCGACAGTGTACTGTTCACTGCCATCAAGCGTGATGGGGACAGCGAGTGGAAGTCAGTGAAGTGGACAGCGCGTGGCTTTCGAATCGGGGATGACCGCGTTCAGCTTGCTGACTCCTACACCCAGACTGTCATTTCGGCTCCAGAGATTAGTCGACGTTACGTCGTACCCGCTCTTGGCGACGCTTTGTCAGACAAGCCTACTTTACGAAGTGTTCTGAGTTAAATTCATCGTACTCTGCTGTCTTGACGTCACGGTAACATTCTTTTTCCTTTAAATTGATATTCTTTCGTGGGTCGAAGTGCCTTTTCATAAATGTGATCTTGTCACTGCACCATGAATCGTTGTCGTTATTCTCGATGCTTTACTTCCTGAGCTTTCTTTGAAATACTCTTGATTAGTGCTGTTTCCGATTTTGTTGTTTCTTAGTCTTGCCTCACTACATGGGACTAGCTAGAGACGACTGTACCACCTTGGCAAAGAGAGCATCAGGACAAACTGTGGTGTGTGCTGTACTCTCTTCAACTTCTCCACCTACTATCGAAGATGACACTGGTTAGTTGATTTCTTCAGCCATTTGTTTTACGATCGATGATTATTGAAATTCGTTAGGTACTACACGCCTCTCATCCCTTCCGGAAGAAATGATGGCGGATGAAGGTGATCCGTGCTTGTTTCTCTTTGAGTGTTCTGTACAACCGCCAAGATGTCTACGTGCAACCCCAATACCTTCCGAACTGGTGCCTGTTATGAAATATCTACTGATGAAATTTCGAGACTACGAACACAAAACATCGTGAATAATAATCGGGTCTAATCCAGTGGGGCGGGGGGCATGTGATGGGACAGTTTATAGCGCCTGAAGTAATTAATTTTGCAAGGAGAACGGAAGTTCCGGGGTCGGTGTAAAAGCTGAGGCGAAATGGTTCACGCTTTCCAGGAGTTTTCTCCTCTGCCGAAATTGTAATTTCTGTAGTCGGCAGCAACTGACTGTCGCAGCACATGTTCTCTCCCTCTCTCACTGATGAGACCTCAATAACCTCACTCTATGGATTTCTTTCTAGTTTTTATTTTGTTTCGTAGGTGGTTTTCAATGTTCTCCTAGTTTTCGTTGAAATCGCCGCTTTTGTTTGTGGAATGAGTTTGGGTAAGTATCGTCTTTGTAGTTGGATTATGGCTGTTTGATCTCCTCTGTATATATTTTGATGTCAGATTGAAGGGCATGTTATCCATTTCCATCGTTTCTTTTTAGAAGTTTGTGTTTTTTTGATCACTGTGTACTTCTTATCACATGTCAATAGAATGCCTGTTATCGGAAAAGGCGCTAAATTCACACAATTCATTCGATTAGTCACAAACTTGTTAAGAAATGGGAAATGTAATCATTAAACTCATATAGTAATCATATGGGCGCTCACAGAAGTGTTCCTCGTCGCTATTTACTTTACTAATCTTGCATCAGCCTTTATAATTTGTTGATCTGGTTTCTGTATACGTCACAGTTTTAAAGTCTCCTCTCTGAAGATGGGAGTGTCTTGGGTCTTCGAACACGACAAAACCGCCAAAGAAGTGGAGCGCCTGTTAGAGGGCGGTGGTGCGGAACAAATTGGCACGTTTACTGTTGACTGCTTGCCGTACACACCAAATGATAAGGTAAATTGTGGAAAATGCCTCGCTTTTCTTCTGCATTGTACCTACTTTATTATACTTTCAGCTTCAAAGTTGCATTCAACACAATTACGTTCTTCACCATAGCAATTTCCCGCAGAGCTCCTTTTCTATAGGTATGCGAGTTTGATACTTTTTCGGACAGTCTTCCTATTCCCTAATAAGCGTAAGGCAGATGTGCTAATTACTTAGCTCCAAGCGACTGTTTACGAACAAGCCCAAGGACTGTTTGTGATCTCGGATTCGATCTCATTCTGACGAAGCTTTCGTCCGGCCTCACACCTGACACAGCTGGCAAGTTCGAGGTCTGCTTTCCTCCACTGTCACATCAAGATGAAACGTGACTGAGCTTCCTTAAGAGATTTTAAGACACAGAATGTACATAAGTATCTATCTGTTGATGCCATGAAATAAAAGGCGGAGCTTATGAGGCATCATGAATACCCTAATTTTCATGAAAAGACTTTGGAGAGAGAAATATATGGATTTTTCACTTTCGCTCGGCAATTGTAAAGTGCTCACTGGGACCTTTTTGGGGTTTCCAGTTTTCCACATTTTAGTTCTCCGTCGAATCAACTACGTCATTCGCCTTCGTAATGTGTATTATGGGAGGATCCAAAATGTTCACCAAATTTGCAATTGGTTTACTATTTCTATTTGCTTTTATCTCGAGATATAACGTATTTGACTGGTTACGTCTAAGCTCTGTTTCAGCTTACTGGTGTAGAATACCGACTGAGAGATTTTGTCGTGCGTGTAGGAACTGCCACGCAAGTGACCACAACTAAGGGAGTAATCGTTGAGGTAGGAAAGTGTAAAGTAGTAGCAAAATGTGCATCATTGGTGCCAGTTTCCTCGATGTTTCTTGTTGATAGGTGGAATATGAGCCATCTCAAGTCGCTGCGCAGAGTGCGCATATGATGACTGAAATGATGCAGATGTTCTTCCCACAATACGTACGTTATTTTTTACTTTTAACTCTTCCAAAGTTACATAGTTTTTTGTTGTTGTTGTGAAGGACTTTTCTCAAGTATAAAACAAAGACTTCTGTGTTTTTTTTTGTTTGTTTGCGGTGATATGAGAGCAATTCTTATAGATCCTTTACAGGCACGCAATAAACCTGACGTCATCAACAAGTCATCTTCGGAACCGTATTCAGCCTTAGATACTATGTATCAATACTTGACGATATTCCGTAATATGAGGAAAAAAGCGTGAAAAGAGCCACTTTATATATGCACCATTTATTTGTTTTGTTTTTTTTGTGATAAACTTATTCTTTGTTTTTCTCGGATGGATTCGAACCTTTGTCAATGTTCTTATCTAAAAGATACTTCACTGATACTTGCTTTCCTTTCTGAATTCATTCCCTAATTCTTTCAATCTCCTTCTATGAAGATGCAAACGGCGTCTTCGAACCCCATGTGGCGTGTCGTCTTCGAGCACGTTGACGAGGCACGCGCCACCGTTAACAGACATTGCTCACACTTGGAATCTTGGCAGGTAACAGTAGCCTATTATAAGTGCTCATCGAACGTCCATATCATTGCTGATATCTACTTCAGATTATGTCCTACACTATCGCAACCTGCTTTTTTGTGATGTGGGTTCGCCGAGTGAACCACTCTGATAAGCCGTTTTTCCAAAGAGTGAGGTGTGTGGATTGATTCATGTTGGCTCTTTATTCGTTTCTTTACGAGAACCATCCATTTCCAACATCATCACGCTGTACAGGAATCTCCCATAGACTAGTCTTGAATGCTCATTTTTTATGTTGATTGTTCAACAAGCGTCAACATGTTATTCATGAACCCTTTTTTCTTCTGCATGCCAACTAGAAAACGACTGTAGGCCACTTGTCCTATACATTGTGTCTTTGACTTAGTTCCTTTCAGAAGTTCTGTGTATTCCATTATTCGGATCTCTGCCATGGGTTAAGCGGCGAGTTAAAGCAGACTTAGAGCGAGCTAGACGTGAAATTGAGGAAGAAGTTCATCAGTACGATCAGGTTCTAAAAGTTTTACTGCTTCGTCTTTATTTTTTCACTTCCATTTCACGCTGACTAGGTTTGAGGTTATGTTTGAAGTTGAGGTTGGCAAGCATTTGGCTTTTCTAGAAGCGTGACTTCTACAAATTCCTTCCTGAACATCCCCTTGGTGGAGAGGAGCTTCTTTCTGAAGCGCGACAATATGCTTCTATGGGAGAACGACGGTACATGGAGCACTATGATCCTCGCACTAGAAATCAGGACTTATCACTTTGTGCTAAGGTGAAATCTCAAGTGATGTGAACTATTCAGTTGTAACTAGGTCCTCTATTCGCAGATATATGATCTCTTTTCCCATTCCGATCCCCATCGATCAGATGCATTCCCTGGTGCCAGAAAGATGGAAGCTGAGGTTTGTTTGGGAGAGGTGTTGCTCATTCGAGTTGGCCTCTGACATAATGCTTTCTGCGTTTTAAGATTCTAAGGATGTGTCTGTCCATGTTTCACGGTGGTCAAGAAGCCTGTGGTGTTGTAGCAGGTGGTGGAACTGAAGTTATGTTGTTGGCATGCCTAGGTTAGTTTCTCACTTTCTATAAATGTCCTAGATTTTCAATCATGATGTCTTTTTTGAGATTCCTCTTTCCGAGTGGGTATTTGAAATCTCATTTAGCATATCGAAATCGTGGAATCGGTATAGAATGTATTCACCAGCAATCGTAGCTCCTTCACTGCTCACGCGCGCTAGACAAAGCAGCAGAAATGTTCGGGATTACAGTACGTAGAATCCCAGTCAGGGAAGACGATCGAGTGCATGCTGCAGCTGTAAAGCGAGCGATCGGACCTCACACCTGCATGGTAAATATATTGCTACTCTGCTCAAGCACAGAAAGTCCTCTCACTTCTTCTCTGATTTCAGATTGTAGCATCGGCACCAAACCACATCACCGGTACTGTGGACCCAATTGAGAGGTTATCTGAGGCGAGATTTCCCTGCTCGAGTCCTATCTTTGAATCTTCGATGTTTTCTAAGTTCAGAACGATCATTATAGGTGGCCCAGCGATTTGGCGTCCCTCTGCATGTCGATTGTACTCTTGGTGGATTTCTCCTTCCTTTTATGGAATACTGTGACTACTCTATTCCAACATTTGATTTTCGCTTGCCCGGTGTTACTTCCATAGCGGTTGATCTCCACCGGCTCAGTCCTATCACTGAGCTTCTGTTGCTCTTTGCAATAATGGTGCTTTACAGTACGGTCAGGGCACAGACTTGCTGCAGTTCCTCTTATTACGTGATCAGTCGATGCTGGCGTCACCATCTTCTGTAATAGTGATTGCCAAGGCGTGTCTATGCAACTCCCACTCTCGCTGGTGGTCGTGACGGAGGGGCCGTAGCCACCGCATGGGCTACTTTACTTGGGAAGGTATCGACGTTCTTTCTTCTCTCTTGTAACTTTTTTATCTGATTATTACCTATACCATTCATTGTTGCTAGTTCTCCAAGTATATCCACGCTAGCATCACATCATATTTCAGGGGCGTGATGGTTACATAACTGCATGTCATCGGGTAGTGGAAACGACTCGCCGTCTCGCTGAGTTGCTCTCGGATATCGACGGAATCACGTTGAGAGGGGCAGCCGATCTATGCATTGTGGCTTTTGAAACTACTCTTGGCGACATCTACGTTCTAGTAGATTTCATGACAACCAAGGTGAACCGAATTTATTGTTTTTTTTTCTACGGCTTTGTATTCTTTTCTTTCTCTTCGAAATATAAATTGTTACAGGGTTGACGGTATGATCTCGAATAATTGTGCAGCTGTGACCAAGATGTTATAATCACTTTATTAGGCTTACGTTTCGGCCTCGTCGCCTTCGTCAGAGCCTGGAAAGTCAAAGATAAGTGCGACCTAACCTCCAAACACCATTTCAGAATTCAAAACAATTCATCCTAGACTAAAGGCATCTAGATGGGCGTCGCAAATCACCAACACTCGTAGGACTCACCTTAGTTGCACGACCGGGTAGTGTTACGACCACCGCTAATCTGACTTCGGTGGGTGGCTTCAGGTCACGAAGTCAGATTAGCGGTGGTCGTAACACTACCCGGTCGTGCAACTAAGGTGAGTCCTACGAGTGTTGGTGATTTGCGACGCCCATCTAGATGCCTTTAGTCTAGGATGAATTGTTTTGAATTCTGAAATGGTGTTTGGAGGTTAGGTCGCACTTATCTTTGACTTTCCAGGCTCTGACGAAGGCGACGAGGCCGAAACGTAAGCCTAATAAAGTGATTATAACATCTTGGTCATAGCTGCACAATTTCGAGATCACTTGGTACAGGGTTTGGCATGTCGATCCACTTTTGTCTCCTGAAGCTGCTCGGGTGCCGGTTACGCTGAGAATGTGTGAGGAAGGAGTTCTCGAGGCATTTGTCGAAGACGTCATTGAAGGCCTTCGTTACCTTGGCGAAAATCCCACCAAAACAACGAAAACTTCGGCTTTCTATCACATGCTGCAAACGGTAATACAATATTTTTATACCCAGTTTAAACAGTTGGCTAGTATACATATAAGCGAAGGACTCTTTATTTCAACATTTTTGAGGTCTGAATTTGTGAAGCTTGCTGCTTTCTACAATATTCTATGTAAGCTTATTTCCTCCGTCATTTCAGTTATTGGTGGGAAGGGTCTCGTAAAGCGTCCACTTAAATCCATGCAACGACATGTGGCTGTGAGATCGTCGTAACTGCTGTACGTATGCTGAACTGCGTACACCTGCATCCCTCCCTTATTATTTTTTTCTCGACGTGTGCCACACATTGCAACCTCAAACTCTTGAAAATTTTCTGATAGTCTGAGGCTGAACACGGACCATTTAGTGGTCATTCTCTAACCCAATCATTGTTTTTCTTAACCGTCTAGACAAGCAACTAGGCGATTTAGGTACAGAGCGATGTTGAAGTAATTGGCGAATCAACAGAACACATTCAACTTTTAGTGGGTGCTGGGGTGCTATTCTCAATGGAGCAAGCGTGAGAGCTAAAAATTTATGACGTCAAATTCGATACACGCTTATTTAACATTGTAGTTAATAAGTCCTTACTTTCTCTCCGCTATCAAAAAATTACTTATTTCTTGAATAGGGTAACGCCGCCGAATCTTGCTGAATAAACAAATCTGAAACCAAAATCACCAATGAACTCTCACAACGTTTCTATATTCGATGCCCTTTCCTTCCGCCTGGGCACATTTTTTTATGTGGCTCTGCGCCCAGTGGGAGTTCAGCTGTCCCAACAGGTCAGGTCACCAAAACTGCGCGATTAAAGCCTAAGGTTGGACTTTGGCATAAAGGCAAAATTTGCGATGAAAAGTTAGCTCATTGGAAATAAGGGTAGAGGTGGTCAGTGGAGCAGGGATGAAGAAGAAACCATTTGAAACGGCCCGAAACCCGAGAAATGGGACCCCTTCCTTTGCCCGTTGATTTGCGCATTGATGCGACTCTCATCGCTGTGCCCTCTTCAACACTACTCTGCTATCTAATCACTCGCCACGTATAGACCTGCGGCGAGTGATTAGATAGTCGGTGGGCGTACCCGCCAACCGCGCCAAGAGTGAGCCATGCTAGATCGCCGAGGTCAAATCTTTCGCTGCCAATTGCGCGTCGGTCAGCACCCTCAGGAGGTCCGCCTGTCTCCCAACTATGCAATTTTTCCTTCTTTGACCTTCGTTCTTATCGTGAATTCCTGTTCTAAATAATCGCAGTAGGTTTGCTAGAACAAAGAAGAGTTGTATTGATCAGAGTTGGTTTGACCTGACTGGGAGAAAAGATATACATCCGCGTTCAGCAGGGAATTCCTTCATTTCAGGTAGCTGATCGATGTCTTGTGGACGAGCTTTCTTTGATTCGACTTCAAGCGCACTACAGCATCCCACCTCCTCTTGATCGCGAACATCGATCAATGCGCGCTTTGAGTGAATACGGACGAAAAATGAGCACGATGGAGAGTGTAGGCCCGAAGTTGTCGACGGAAAAGTCGTAGGAGACTTTGTCTGTGATTGTCAAGTGGTTCGAAATAGTGTTTTAGTATTCGAGTTTTATGTGATAACGTGGAGCTCTCAATTTGTTGTATAGTTCATTCTGTTAATACTCCTGCTTGTCTACATCATTATTATTCGTGAATTCGCATTTAGGTCGAATTTCTAATGAGTGTGCATTCGCACTCGATTTTAAGCTTCTTAATAACTAGCAGTTGTTTTTCTATAGTCTTGATACTAGGCGTTACTTCTAGCCATGTGCAGCATATGTCCTCACAAAGGCGCTCTTCTTTTTTTAACCCTACGATCATTTTGAAGCCTCGATCTACTCGCATTTTCAAGGGGTTGAGTGTGCCTGCTTGAGCCTTTCTTACTATTTTGAGCTTTGCTTTGTCTGGATGACATTCTAGCGCGCAACTCTCTTCCAAGATTCGTGCAGTCGAGCTCTATTGTTTGGCATATTGATTCTCGTATGAATCTTTAATATGTGTCATGCTGCAGAGCCTTGTGGTTTAGTCCACATGCTACATTTGTTGTGACGTGTTAGAATAGTACTTTTTCATCACCTTGACAACGTCTGTTAAATTTCAGTGTTATATGCAGAATGTAGATTTCTGGGACTGGGATTCACCCGTCGTCCACCTCATTCACGCGGTTTTCTTCATCTCATTCTGGTCTGATTCGCATTTTATAGTATAACTCCGCAGTCTCTTCTAGAAAGGTATGACAATCTATTTTAAACACATGATAATGACGTAGCTCACCATAAAACTGAGTTCCCCTATTCTAGCTTACTTCAAATTCATCCTCCGTTATTTCATCTGATTTACCAACAATGCACACCGCTACTCAATATATTGCCAAGGAATTGAGAGTGATCAATGCGCTTTCGTAGATGGTCGTCTGGTCATAACGACCGTTTAGCACTAATAAACGGACAGCTCGTCAGACTGGGCGCGACCGTTGGTATCCACTCCACTGCTGTCAGTATTTACGATAGACGACCGACTATACCGCTCTCTGCCTTTACCTCTCTCTGTAACGATCGATTTCTAATCAGAGAAATACTCATTGTCTGTTCTGAGAACAAGCCATCTATCGTAAGATTTTTCTCTAGGAAGGGTGCTAGAGAGCAGGTAGTCATGCGTTTTCACCAGGTTCGGGCTATAAGGCATTTATTTAGGAACTGTGTCCGTTGAAAGTTTTCAAATATCCCTTACTTTTTTATTAGTTTTTTGAGCAGCGTAGAAAAAAAGTAGACTTCATGTTTTTTAGACTTAGAAGCATCGCCCTCAGCGTTAGGCAGTGTCAGAGTCCGCGATTTATCGCGCGAATTGCAGGAACCGCAAGTGCTTCTATCAATACTGCGAGGCGCTATTTTATTCCCACCGCTAATACTGCTTGACTGTGGTGGCTGAATGACGATTGTTCATGATTTTACTTATTTCATGTTCAATGTTTCAAATGTTCGTGACTTGACTTTACTTTTTTTTCTTTTTCAGGGACGGAACAGCATGGATCCTCTGCTTAAATCCTTCATGCTTTCATGAGGTTTTTTGCAGCAAAATTTTCGATATAAACAGAAGGACATTAACATTGGAGATGAATTAGGAACCCACTTCTCGGCTCAAAATTCACGCTGAGTTTCTCCCTGAAAAAGAAAAAGTTGGAATAGAATCATGAATATTTGGATGAAAATTTAAAAAACTGAACATGACGCAACTAGAAACTTGAACAGCCGTCATTCAATCATCACCATCAAGCGAATTGACGGCGGGCAAGGAGTTTTAGTACATAAGTCCTTTTGTATTCCAACAGTAGTTCAGAAGGAACTGTTCGAATGAGGCTCGTGGATGTTTGTCTTCCTCCAAATTTCGTCACGTAGAGCATCGATATTGAACCATGCGGGCGCTCTTGGAGAAATACTTCATAAAAAAGTTTCACGAAAATTGGAGTTTCTTTCTGTGAGGAAGGTCGCAGCAATTGAGCCGACTAATTGTTACAGTAGACAGAAATGGGTGCCATTTCGCGCCATGTCTCAACACTGAGATTTTTACGAACTTCCACAGCAAAAGATGTAAAGTTTCTCGTGAAATATGAGACAGCCTTATAATTTATAAATTTTGTAAGTAATAGATTCGGCCTTACCACCAGTTTATATGGTACTGAGATTGAGCATCAGAGGTCACGAAGGTGGTTGAACGTTTGATTGAGTGGAGTTCAAATTTTTTGTATAAGCAAGTGTCAAAATGCGAAGTAAAACCTGAAAGTGAAGTCGGAGCGATTAATAATATAAAATAATAAAAATAAATTTCGCTCAAAGTAGTGCAAAAAAGAAAAGCGAAACCAATAGCTATCTAAGACCAATGCTTCTCGAAAAGATCAAATGCTGCTCGAATTAAGTGTTGATACTCCTAATTGTGTATATAATTTGGCGAAGATTATCACATAGAAGGGT